ATGTGCTGGGGGAACATTAAGCCTGAGGATGAAAAGAAAGGCAGAATCAGCCCCTGCTCTCCAGGAGCTCAGTCTAGTGGGGAGCCCCGTGCCCGGGGCTCTCTTATAAATAAGATCTACTCGGGCTAAGAGGGCAAGTCTCAGGGGGAGGAGGGAAAGGCAAAGGGGAGGACCGTAGCTAAGGCCTGGGGATGACACATTTTGTGCCTGCTTCTTTGGCTCTTTCCCCAAATATTCTCAACTGTGCTTTTCTCCCTGGGTTCCCAAGTTTCCTCACTTAGTGGTATCTTTTTAATAGGTACTCTCCCCTCTTTCCCTGTGGCCTATTTCACGCCCTTGGGAACAAGTCTGTCCATCAGGAGAAGTCCTGAGGGCCAATGGGGAGAACTAAGGGCCATCTACAAAAGGAGCCCAGCTCAGGGGCATCCACCCTGCCTACGAGAGAGAGCTCTCCTGACGGCTCCGATGGCTGGTGCTCTCCCACATGAAACATGACTGTCTTTACTTGGTATATATCCTGCACGTGCGAATCTGTGGACGTGTTGTTTCACGTCAAGTCAAGTGAACAAGCGTCACTTAAGAGCTGGATCTGACCTCGGGATGTCCTCACTCCAGGCTCCTGACCTTGTCTCCACGGCCACTACCCACCCTTATTCCTAGCTGTCTTGAATGATTCCAGCCCTCTGGTAGAGAAGCAATAGATCGACCCACAGCACCTGGCACCAAAACTTCCTACTGGCTGGATGAGACCGGGGCCAAGGTTTCTGCGGGGCAGGCAACCCTAGGAGGAGACAATTAAGGCCAGCCACGTCCTGAGGCCTTCATTTCTCTCCCTCATTTACTCTTTATTTCCTTCAGTTTGAGTGTGGAATCCCCCATCTCCCCCATTGCCAGCTCCTTCAGTCCTGGAATGCAATTTCTGCCAAGGAACTGGAGTCAGTCCAGAGCTGTGATCGGACTGGGGTAGAGAGTTCCCATCGAACAAACGCCCTTGACTAGTGGAGGTCTGTACCTCTCCTACAATGTGAGGCCTCAGAGAGCTGGTGCAGGCGACGGGACAAGGAACAGAAAGCTGGACCTGAAGCCAGGTCCCAAGCCAGCTCTCTGGACCCCATCACAGCAGCAGTCTTGAGAGGAAGGAACTTTGGACAACAAACATTTTTGGAGAGATGAGTTCAGAGTCCCATCTTGTTGACAACACTGCCCTTCCCCCTATCTCTCCTGGGCTCCTCCCAGATCCATGCGCTGGCGGCACACGCTGTCATACACTCCAGCAAAAGGACAAAGGTCCCGCTGGGTGGGCTGGTGATGAGCGGCTGGGAGTGGACGGATGGGGAGGCACCAGCAGGGACCCTCCTCAGCCCGACATTCTTCTGAAGCAGATACAGGGGAGGGAAATGAATCTCTGCAGCTCTGAGAGCACTGCAGAGAGAGCCTCAGGACTGGCAGGGGCATCAGCCGCCTGACCTGGACCAGACGCCTGCCCCTCCCTCCTCCCTGCCGCCTCCCGGGAGGGGGAGCCCCCTTGAGCAGAGCTCCAACTGTGAGGCTTTTCCTAACATCAAGACTCTGGCCAAGCCCTAAGGATGACCTCCATAACCCGAAATATCCCTCTCTGGGGGACAGCACTGGCTCAGAAAAGCCCATAGCTGGGGGCTTGGCTAGGGGCACTCTCTCTGTCTCCCTTCCTTCCACCTGGAATTCTTTTATTTTTTGCTTTTTGGTGAGGCATTGTCCAGGGGTCACATAGCTAGTAAGTGTCAAGTGACTGAGGCCAGATTTGAACTCAGGTCCTCCTGACTCCAGGGCTGGTACTCTACCCACTGTGCCCCCTAGCTGCCCCCTCCATCTGGAATTCTGTCAGGGAGATTTCTGAGTCTCACAAGATGGTGACCATTAGAAACCGTGGGGCTTCTAACACAAAATCGTTTCTTCTCTCCTGGAGGAGTCATACTCCCAGGCCATCCCGATGTCTTTGTGGCCCCGTCAGAGGGGCGGGCTGTGGCTTCCAGCTTCCAACTGAGATGCACCTTCACCCCCAGCTGAGAGAAGTCAGCCACCAGCTTCCGGAAGGACGTGTTTTCCTGGGGATTTGCCCACTTCGGGGTCAGGTTCTTCAAGACTAAAACAGAAGTTTCCTTTCCAATTTAGCCTTTGCTCCCGAGGAGGTCATCTCTGTCATTCTGCAGAAAAGCTCCTCACAGGGTGGTAAGAAATAAGAATGCCAAACAGCGGTGTCATTTCCTAAGAGGAAAACATTTTGTCTCGGCCATCACTGCCAACAGCAACCTTGGAAATTTTGCACGAATGCGCGCCGGAGGCAGATTGGGCTGAGGGGGCTGGGAGGGCAGGACCAGCAGCGACTGGGGCAGCATCTCTGGGGCGGTTCTGGCGCCAGCTCAGTATCCACTCACACACGGGGCTCAAGCAAGTGGGCTTGATTTGGGGACACCAGCAGTGACCACGAACCTGCTTCTCACACAAAACCATCCCAGATGGTCCCTCTGCTGTCCAGAGTACAAAGGCCAGCCTCAGCAGCTGGGGCTTCTGCGCAAGCAGAAAAGCAAGTGTATGCAACAGCGTTGTGTTCAGGGGGAGAGTCGGATGTTTTCTCAAGGTTAAGGCTTAGATTTCAGGAACGCCACTGGAGACAGAGAAAAAAGTCCAGAGGGACAGAAGGACTCCTGGTAAGGAAGGCTCCTTGGAAGGCCGGCCCGTAAGGGAGGAGAGGTGGATGTGCGCACCTCTGCGCACTGGCCCATAATGCTTCGCTCAGTCTCCCCTTTGTTGTTCCGTCGTTTTTCGGTCGTGCTCGATCTTCACGACTCATTCAAGGTTTTCTCGGCAGAGATACTGGAGCGTTTTGCCATTTCCTTCTCCAGCTCATTTTACAGATGAGGAAACTGAGGCAAGGTTTAAGTGACTTTCCCAGGGTCTCATAGCTAGTCAGTGTCTGAGGCTGGATTTGAACTCAGAGACGAGTCTTGACTCCAAGTCCAACGCTCTGTACACTATGGCACCCCTCGCGCCCTTCACTCTTACTGGGGACCTTTTTCTGGACACGGGATGGGTCATCTAGGAGGCCCCCGAGGGCTCCCAGGCCACACAGCCGACTGGTTCAAGGCCTCCATGTCCTGCACCATCATTAGAGGCTTCAAGGCCCTGCTTCACACTGGGGGAATGACTTCAGTATTTTCCACCTCAAAGAAATGAGGTGAGACACATTCACAAGTTTAGTGAAAAAGATGCTGTGAGAAATCAATTGAATGAAAATCTCATTTGTTCAAGTATAGACCTTTCTGAAGTACCACAGCTCTCGTGGCCCCCAAAGGGCCAGGGCCAACTCTGCAGGTCCAACTCTGAAAGACCCCAGCCCTAGAAAGAGGCTGGGTGTCGCCAAGTTGGCCTCCATTACCCAGGAGGACCAGAGCGAGAAAGCACTGATGACAGGCCTCCTGTCTGGTACAGAGAGGACGGAGGACAGTCCCTGCCCCGCCCCCCCGCCCAGTATTTGCTGTTGCTGAGGTCATGGCAGGTGGAGATGCAAGACTGGAGGTCAGCAGAAAGGTCAAGGCTGCATAAACAGACCTGAGAATCATCTTCACAGAGATGACGACAAAATCTGTGGGGGCTGATGAGACCCCCGAGGGAAGAGGTGGTATGCAGGGAGAAGAGAGAGGGCCCAGGACAAGATCCTGAGGGTCCCTAGGGTTAGTGGGCATGGTCTGGAAGAGAACTAGGAGACCTGAGAGTGACAGTCACCTGCAAGGCTGCAGAGGCCAAGAAGCACAAAGACTGAGGAAAAGCTGTTGGATTTGGCTGCTAAGAGATCACTGATCACTGAGAAGAGGGCAGGGCTGGTAGACCAATGGGGTCAGAAGCCAGACTGTAGGGTTAAGAAGAGAGTGAGGGACAAAGGGGCCACACTGATGGAGAAGAGCCTCAAACTTAGCCAGGAAAGGGAGGAGAGAGAAGGGATGATGTCACACGTATACGGACAAGACCCTGACCTGCCTCTAGCCTGGACTTGAAGCCCTTCACGGGGAGCTCACTACCTTCCCTGCCTCGAGAGCCTTTCTGTTTGGAGGCGGACAGCTGGGATCGTGACGAATTGAAGAAAGCGGTTTCTGTGAATTACGTGGAATGTTTCCTCTGCTGCTACCTTTGAGGTGAGTTGGTTGTTTTTCCCCCTGGGAAACCTAGAAAGTCTATGAGAAAAGTCTGCTTTTCTTCAGAAAATAACCTTTTCACCAAGCTCCCCAAGAAGCACCAGGGTTTTATCTGGAGCTCTAACGCCTGGGATTCAGTAGGTACTTAACAGGGGCTCCCTGACTATTAGAGGTGCCTGTTGTCCCCTGGTAAAGTGTCAGTTCCCGGAGGGCAGGGCCTGGACTCTGGGCTCTACTCACTGAGTGCATCCTGGAGTCGGGGGTCTCCGTCCCTTCCGAGCCACTGCCAAGCCATGTGACCACACTCTGGGTGTTAACACGCAGGGAGGGAGAAGGACTGGCCTGGGCATTTTCACTGGCATCAGCGTGCTCGGTGAGGAAGCACCGCTACCAAGGCAGGCTGATATGACTTACTGTTAGAAGAGCTGCCCAGGGCCCCGAGAGGTGGGGATGCACGCGGGGGTCACGCAGCCAGGATGTGCCAGGCTGGGCTGCAGCTCAGGCCGTCCTGACTCTACCAGCCTGTCTTTTACTACCCTGGGTGGGGCAGAGCTCTAGGTGGATTCCCGGGTACCCCCTGTGGGCTGCCGCTGGTCTGGGAGGGGGTTTAACCGAGGAAGGAGGTATGTTTTAGGGTTGACCTCTCTTTGCTCCCGTCTGTCCCTCACTTATGCCCTGACCACCCTCCAACACACACACACACACACACACACACACACACACACACACACACACA